TAAGTGTGTCCTGAATGTATTGGATTACGTCACTCGCTATGGACAAAATGGGTTGCGTGTTACCCTCTGGGCAGCATTCGTCTATTATGGTAGCAAAGTGACCGAGGACATATTTGCTGCAAGCCAGAAGTGCAAAGACTGGTTAACTCTGCTAAAAGTAGAAAAATTGCGAGGGTGACTATAGCCTTTCTCATTTCTTTCTCTCTATTTTTTCATTTTCTATCTATATTATCTATATTATCTATATTATTTATATATATTACAATGAATGTCTAAACCTTAACTTAACTTAATTGGCCTTTTTATATAAGTCTGTATTTTCACGAGTTTACAATCAATTTCAATCGTGATATTTATTGGTGTGGTTCATTTTATGTTTCATGTTAAATAAGTTGGTTGCATCTTATTCGTTAGTTGGAGGCGGTGAGAGATAGGAACACACCATACCATGACAACGTGATGAAACGCGAAAATGAATTATTTTAATTTTTGAAAAATACGCGTAATTAAATTTCACAATGATATATTCTTTCGAGTAGCTTCTTCTTATTTCAATTCATATATAAAAAGGCTTCCAATCCAAATAATTCATCAAAGCTCAGCAAAATTCTAATAACAGGTTTTGTTTGGTTTTTCATTTACAAAATCTAATCTCAATTATAAATATAATTCTTTAAATGACTGAATCAAAAACTAAGCAACAAAAGATGAATAGCACTTTAAAAGTTCAATTACGTTCTGCCGATGCTACTGCTCCAACCAAAGGTTCTACCGAAGCTGCTGGTTACGATATCTATGCTTCTCAACCAACTGTAATCCCAGCTCGTGGCCAAGGTCTAGTTGGAACCGACATTTCTTTTACTGTTCCAATTGGTACCTATGGTAGAATTGCTCCAAGATCTGGTTTGGCAGTAAAGAATGGTATCCAAACTGGTGCTGGTGTTGTTGACAGAGACTACACAGGTGAAGTCAAAGTTGTTTTGTTTAACCATTCTGAAAAGGACTTCGAAGTCAAGAAAGGTGACCGTGTTGCACAATTAATTTTGGAGAGAATTGTCGACGACGCTGAAGTTGTTGTCGTTGAATCATTAGATGAGAGTACCAGAGGTGCTGGAGGTTTTGGTTCAACTGGTAAATAGATAATACGCATTCTATAGCCTATATTACCGAAGGGGAATATCCCTCTACCCACACCACCAAGCTTTTATTGAGAAAAAAGACATATTATCGGTAAAAAAACTGTATCATAGTAGCATAAGTGAATAATTAATCGTTTACATATAATTTTACAAAAGAATAAAATATTTTTAAGAATACTTTAAAACCCCTTTAAACACACTCGTAGTAATGCAGTTTTATAAAAAATATCTTGGTATTTATTCCAATATAACGTAATATAATATGATGTGAGGTGTCGGATTATTTATTTAAATATTTTCTAGCTAATGTTCGTACTCTTGAATCAAATGCAGAACTTGAAATTGGAGTTCCAGGAGTATAAAATGGATTCATTAATGTTTTGATGTACAATTCATGCACTTCTTGATAAAACAATTTTACTGAATTGTCATCAACTTGAGCCGTGGTAGCGGTCGAACTTCCATGAACCATCACAAATTTCATTCCACTATATGTAACATATGCCGTTATAATAAGACCATAAAAATGATCGACTTTACCAAAATAACAATTGCTTAAATTTGATGTATTCCTCGATCTTAAAAACCCACCACCAGTGGTCCCAGATGTAGTAGAATGTGCTGGCAAATTGGTCTGCCACTGAAGATCTTCTATTATATCCAAGGAAGCATGTAACATAAACGGATTCAACTCTTTCAAATCCTGAGGAAACCCTTGCTGTCCCTGACCTGATAGTCCCTGCTGAGCAGTAAATTCAGCTTCATAAACTGGATTATCTTTTTCTCCTATAATGGCAAAATATTGAGGCATAATGACTTGGTATAAATAGACAAAAAAATGGGTAAAAAACAGCACACCAACAACAGCACTACCTGAATGCACAATCTATGAATCTAGATATCTGTCTTACTACAATTCCAATCTCTTTTCTTACATTTAAATACAAAGCTTTAAATACATTAAAAGTCTCAGCTATTTTACTGAATCTTTTTTTATAGTTCAAAATTCGGTTAACAAATTTGATCCTGATATCTGAATCAAATTTAAGGACAAGGTTGTTACTAATGAAAGAATTTAAAAGATTAAATAATTCATAAAAGTGATTTATTTGAGAGTTCTAAGAGTGATAGGGTAGAAGTGGATTGTGTTTATTATCTATTGTATTAATCAGTCCATATTTTAGGAAAGAGGAAGATTTAAGACATACAAAATGCCATCCTCGAGTACTGATGATCGAAAACGAGAGGAGGAAGGCGTACATATATTTAAAGGGGAGAAATCAGAGGTTGAACGTCAATCTGATATCGATAGAGTCAAGTTTGTGGCTAAGATGTTTATGGATAGTCGATTTGGGTTGATGGATGATTTGAATTATGATCTACCGGTTACAAATTATTCAGCACAGGATTCTTCAATTAATGATTTCATGGAGGTAAAACCTGATTTAGCAACAAACAAAAAAAAGCAAGATACTGCTATTACTTCGAAGCTGATCATACCTAAATCTGTTCGAGTTAATGCCAATAGGGTTAAGAATTATCTGGATTATTATTACGCAATGATAGAAAAAAATATTAATATGATACCAGAGGAAAATGTTCACGAGGGGGTAGATGGTGTTTACAACCCTTTACAAATTATTAGAAATAGGAAGTTGAGAGAAAAATATGATGAACTGCCACCTAGAGCATTGTTTATATCGAAGTCTCCAGTAATTGCTGTGAAACAATTTTCTTCGAAATCAAATAAGAAATTTCCATGGTATGTTGATATTAGTGAACGGTCTAGTGATATGATTTGGCGTACGACACATTGGCATGAATTAGTGGGGCATAATAAAGAGTTATTATTTCCTCCAGAAAGGAAACAAAACAATAATAATGGCCATAGCCGCAATCACATGCATCTATTACATACTGGCCATCACACAAGACCGCCATTAACACCTGCAAATAGTGCCACAGGTCTTTCACAGATGCCCAATCTTTCTAAGGAGAATTCAGATTTGACACCTTACGAAAGCCCAATCTCATATGATTCTAGTCACCATACTAGTGAAGAAAAGTCTAATAACATTCCTGATAAATCAGGATCACCTGAAAACAAAGAAAGGAAAGTAGACCAAGGTTCAAGCGACAATTTGAAACCTAAGAAGATCGAGAAGATTATCGAAAAGTCTAAGAAGTGGTCCAGATCTCCATCATTTCGAAGAAAGAGTCATATATTTCAAGAGACTCCAAGTACTACATCTTTAAATAGATCCATGAAGTCAAATAGCGTTTACGCTTCATTTGTTGACAACATTAATTCAGGACCCCCAATGTCACCAGTTGACGAATTGGACCCAAAACTAAGAGAAAGCCCATTAAAAGATATCCAAATACGTAACATTAGGAGTAAGAATAATCTTTCTCAACCTTCATCTCGTGAAATCTATTCGAATGAAAATGCTATCGAAAGTGAAGATGAATATGATTCTGAAAATGGAGAAAATATGCTAAAGGAAGAACAAGAGAAAATCGTTCCTTCCAATAATGACATAGTTCTAGACGCAAGATTACAACAATATTGGAGAGATGTTAGATATGTAAACTCTACAATCGATTTTTTCCAACATAGGATGATTACCCATAGGAAATACAAGAAAAAAGAATTAGAAATAAGAAATAAGATCAATTTTGATGATGATATAAATGAAGTTATTCATTCAACCTCGGATGTTTTGAATGTCTATAATAATAAATTAGAAAATGTGATAAAAGAAGGTAATGAATGGAATTCTAAATGGTTAAATGATTATTCTGCAAGGGTAGAAACATTAATATCAAGTACAGATAGAATTATCAGTGATATTAGTACCACTCTAACGTTGAAATTAAAATTATTCCAAGAGAATGCTGAAAAATTGGAAACTGTTAAAAGTATGCGTTCGAGACAAATTACTAAACTGGGCTATAGAATTCTTGAATTTTTCATTATTCTAATATTGTGGTCTATATGGTTAGTTGTCAGCATTATTAAAGATATCAAATATTTGGGGATTTTAGTTTTAAGGGTAATTAAGTGGACATTATGGTGAGAATGGTGTTTTCTATATTTCAATACATATAGATCAATTAATGGGTTAGTAAATGAATAACAGGGTTCAATTATATCAGGGTATTTATATACACATAGACATATGTCTTTATATATTTATATATACATATTACGTCGGATAATTTTAAAAAATATTTACAAAATAGGGTACAAAATAGGGTACAAATAAAAATAAAAGTCGGTAAAAGAATAGTAGAGAGATTACGATCTATTTGGCTGTGGAATTGTACTTCTAACTACATCTTCTTCCTCCAAGAACACACCCTTTTCAGCAGCTTCATCCAATAAAGTTTTTCTTCTCTTTAACTCATCATCAAAGTACTTTTTTTGGAATGTAATCAAATGTCCATCAGCTGTAAAATACGCACAATAAGAAATCCAAGCAATATGATAAAATGTTCTAACTTGGATTCTAGAGGTTCTGTACAAAGTCGAATAGCGTCGTAGCAAGAACGCAGTACTAATACCTATTGCTGCACCTTTTAAACCTCCAAGAACAATATATTTTACCAACTATAATAATGGTCAATTTCATTAGATCGGTTAGTATATATTTAATAAATTAAAGTAATCAAAGCGTATATCTTTTATTATGTACATACATCTTTAGATAATTGATTGACAGTAGAGCTGTCATAATGAACTGGTTGTACTTGATTCCCCATTTGCGAATAAATAATCGAATCACAATCACTTGTATAGCAACAATTCAGCTTACCAAGTATGAACAAATATCAAAATTTAAACCAATTGTTTTAATCGAAAACATTAAATCATAAATTAAAATTTAAATACCTTTCCTTTAACTTTATTATATCGAATTACTTAATTTCAAGAATGTTATATATATATACTTAAGATATTTAAAATCATTAAATCGTTAAGCGACTGGAATTAAAAGCTAAGAGTGAAAAAAATGAGCATATTAAGATGGTGATAAAACGTTGAAGATGACAGCATTTGATTCATTCTTTCTAGATAAGTAGTAGTAAATTGAATTATAAAGCTTTAATCATTATGATGATAATAAGATGTCAATTAAACTATCAGTTTTGATTCTTTTAAATAATAATAAGCTATTGAATTTTTAATTTATTTAAACGATTTATTTTTATTTTTATATTTATATTTGATTTTATTGTATTTTATTTTTTTCCATCTTAACAAATATTGAAATAAATGCAGAATCCTGAATAAATATGATGAAAAATTATTAAATGAGATGAGATGAGATGAGATGAGATGAGACGATGATATTGTATGAGGATGCGGATGAATTAATGTAATTTTATTTTTATTTATTATTGATATTATTGTTATTATTATTATTAATTTTTATTTGTCAAATGCAATCTTTTGGGTTTATATTTTAGTTTTCATTATTTCTATTTCTCGGGTTTGATAGATCTTTATTACTTTTGATGCCATGTTATTTTCAAAAAACAGGTATAAAAACATGATCAGTGGTTATCAATTAATCTATTTTGAGTACTTGGGGCGCTGTTTTTTATTTCCCTAACAGGAGTTGGACTTATAAATGCTTCTTTGGCACCCAAATTTAAGATTGGAATATTGATATGGTTGGGAAAACAACCTCTTCAGCTTCATTAAAGGATTGAAGTT